TTACGCAACACTTAAAAAACTTTAAACTTATATGTTTTAATATATTTGTATAATTTCAGAATTCCATAAAGTTATAGTCTAGTCTATTTATTTCATACCGTTAATATAGTTTACAGAATAACTAGTTAACTCTTTGAATGTCCAAAAATTCAAATTTTCTATTAGGACAAAAACAACTTATATACAGTAAGATCTCGTTTAACGCTGATTCGATATAACGTGGTCTACTCAACACTTTTAAACTTATATGTTTTAATATATATTTATATAATTTCGAAATTCCAAATAATAAGTATAATTCTAGACCCAAGAGTTAATTTTGTAAAATAATGTATTTGTAACAATAAAAATTAGTATGCATTAAAAATCTATACTTAGTTTTAATGAATTTGCTGATTAGAAGATGGTAATTTCTTTTCCTAGACATTTTCTAGAATATTAAGATAATAATTAGTTAACTCTTTGAATGTCCAGAAATTCCTAAAGTTCTAGACTCAAGTGGTAGCAAACAAATTCAATTTTTAAATTTGTAAACTAATGTATTTGTAACAATAAAAGTTGAGATGCATAAAAATATGTATGCCTAGTTTTAATGAATTTGCTGATTATAAGGTGGCAATTTCCTTTTCCTGGACATTTTCTAGAAAATTAAGAAACAATTAAAAAGGTGGTACAATGCGCGTAAGAAATGCGGCCCTCAAAAAGTTATAGCATCAAAACAATTCAATAGTTTATGAATATTTTATGAAATAACTAGAATATTGGATTACAACTTGCAAATAAAAAATTAAAAGCATAATTATTATATTGATAATTATATAAGTTGACTTTGTTTTGTATCTATATCGTGTTTAGTCAATTATTTATTACAATATTTTTTATTTTTTATTGGCTCTAACTTTAATATTTATTTTCACAGTTTGAAATTGGACACATGAAATCACAAAAATATTTTGTCAATGCACAAAATTTTCTACATTCTAAAGAAAATACATTTTGCAACATTAATTTATATAAATAAATTCAAAACTCATTACATGTTTATCATCCACCACAATTCATGTGGTTTGAAGAATTGTTATAAAAAATCGTATGAATTATTTTGTACGTAATCACTACGTAATTTGTTATTATTTGCGTAAGCATAAACCAAATTAGTAATATCTGACTCATTTTGATTATCAATTTAGAGATAATATAAAAACACAATCATAATTGAATAAACTAATAGTAAATAATAATAATTTAGGAATTATTGGAATTATTATAGTACTTACGACTCTAATTTGAGCAATAAAATATATTTTGAAAAATAAGAAATGATTGTTATATAAAACAAAATACAAAATATACTAGATTAACGCTTATGGTGAGTTCTTACTAAGGTTTATACAAAAACGTACATTTAAAAAAACAGGTTTTCTTATATTAATTTTTCTACAAAACCAGTTTAGAACGGTTTTCGAATTTTCACAAACAAATAGAGAAAAGGGTTTTTCACAACTTATTTTCTATTGTTCTACAAACCCAACGTATTTAATTCATTAATTAATGATCTAAATGATTCGTTCTTCTCTTTATACCCTCTAACACTAAAAGTTTATTTTTTTAGTAGGTTGCGGAAGTCACATCTTCAGGTTTTTGAAGATATTTATGAATTGATTGTTTCAAAGCAAGCTATGATTTGTTTTTCTTCTTCGCCGCTTTTTTATCATCGCAGTCATCTTCTATTTAATAATTTGGATACAATCTTAATAATATTTATCTAAAAAACTTAATGTGGATTTTGTAAATTTACTAAAATCGGTTCTAAACTAAAACCTAAGAACTGATTTCAGTTTTAATTTTTCTTTTCAATATATGTAACAGAGATTTTGTGTCAACATTTTTCTGTTTTTAATTAAATAAATAATTAAAAACCGTTTTTTAGTTATATATAACCGGTTTAGGAAATTTACCTCTAAATATCGGGTTTTCAAAACCTACAAACCCTAGTTTGTATATAGTATATATGAAAATTTAGATCTTTTCAGGCTTAGAATAGACTTCGTTATATGCAATCAGTGTTAATCGAGGAAGCGCTAAACGAGGTTATACTGTATATTTCATGTATGGAATGTAACAAACTTAACTAGTTGTCATTAACTACATGTTTGTAAAAAATATATTACTTTTCACTTCCAATTTGTAATGATTCTTAACTAATCATTATATTATTTCTGTGTTTGTGCAATAATTTTCACTAAAATAACTTAAGTTATGATTCTTATATACATAACAAGTATAAATTTCATAACATTTTATATTAATTTAATAAAGTAATAATTTTGAAACTGGAAAAAAAAATTTATATACAAACATATTTAACAAGAAAAATCTTGTTATTTATTTGTTATTTTCAAAAGAAAGTAGTCGAAATCTTTCTTATTTATCATATTTTTTATAAATTATTTATATAAATATAATTAGAACATTGTTTACAATATTTAAAGTTATATAACTCATTTATGAATGAATTCCGATTTGTTGTCCGATTCAGATTTGTTTACTTGTATAAAAGTACCAAATAACAAATGTATTTTACAATTAGTTGTGAATTTACTATAAAGTTTTGATACTTGACAAGTATACTTCGTTTTAAATATTCTTGTTTATTTCAACTGTCTAATTTTGTTATTTTTGTTTGTATTTCAAATTAGGATAATCGTGATGATCCCATGGATTATTGAATAAAATGAACGAATCGGATTATTGGAAAAAATCTATATTTAATCCAAATTGCACTTTTTCGTTTATCATCAATACGAGATCCGGCTTACAACAATCTTCAATGACACACCGCATTTTGCAAATTGAACTGATGTGATACCTATAGTCAATTCAATTCAATTCGAAGCAGCCAAAAGTCGTGTGCGTTCGTGTACGAGCTGTGTGTTTATTTTTATCAGCAAGTTTTTAGTTATACTCCAACCTTCGTCGTTTCAACATACCAACCATTACTCGCGCTCGAACACGGGACGTCGACGCACGTGCTCCTCTGAGGTCGACAATAATGGACGCAAGTAGGCGCCGCGCCGGAAGCCTTCCCAGAGGATTGTCTCTTAATTGGGAAATAGTTTCAGAAGACGGTGACCAATTTCTCTCCATCCCAGACGAGTTCGAAACCTTGTCCCAGATGTCCATCCCAGGAACACAGAACTTGGACGACGACTCCGACTGTTGGAGTCTGAACCAGGAGAAGGAGACGCTCGAGAAGCTGGATCCGCAGGAGATCAAGATGCAGGAACTCATCCACGAGTTTATCCTCACCGAGAAACACTACTGCCTCGTTCTGTTGACTATACAACAACTGTTTTGCGATGGTTTTTCCAAGTTTTTCGCTTCGGAAACTAAGCTGAGAGGAGTATTCATCGGGATCGATGATTTGATACAAGTGCACACATCGTTTTTGGATGAACTAACCACGCGACAGGAGCAAGCTGAATTGACCGCTAACATTACTGACATCTTGGCCGGCTTTTTCGGAAACTCATCGAAGCTTAAGCAGATGTACGGAGATTTCTGTAAGAACAGCGATAAAGCCTTGAAAATCTACAAATTCTATTTGGAGACTGACTACGAGTTCGAGAAGTTCATCAATTCCTGCCAAAAGAATCCGCTTCTCAAAAGGAAAAGCTTACCAGATTGCTTACTGCTAATCGAGCAACGCCTAATCAAGTATCAACTGTTAATTTCCGCTATGCTCAAGACGAATAAATCGGATTTAAACTCAGTTCATGACTCCATCAAAGATATACTTTTCGATGTGAATCAGCAGATCGAGGAGCAACAAAATGCTCTTAGAAAAGTGGAGATTTGCCATAAACTCGACGATAAATCATACACGATTTACAAGGGACATCAGTTTAGCAAATTCGATATGCAGGCTGAGCACAGAAAGTTGATTTTCGAAGGAGAAGCAACGTTGAACGACAAGGCTTTAATCAGGATAGTAGTTCTGAGTGATCTTATTGTATTCTTAAGAGAAGTCAATGGGAGGTACGAGCTTTTCATGCCCGAAAACAAGATCGGAGCTTTCGGACTGGACAGGGTTTTGGTGCGAAAGAAAGCCGGACTCAAATCCATCTTCTATTTAATATCCTCGGACAAGGTTAATCCGCAAATCCATGAACTCCACGTGCTCGAACCTAAAGATGTGAACGTTTGGATTAAAGCCATACAGGATCACAGTTTGCTGCTGTAGGATTTATACTAATACGCAACGTGTGTAAATGCATAAATTCGTTCCCTTAAATACTAAACCGGAACGGATTTGGACTAGTTCCTCACCTCAATCTTTTCCTCCTCCTTCGCAGCCGCTGACCTAGAAATAACGCTTCTCCGTCGATAGACAGTTTTAATTCCTTACGGATTCGGAATTTCGTTTTTTTGGCGAATCAAAAAGTGAATGGCTTTTCCTTCCTCCTGCAACGGATGGATGAAGTTCTAAGTCTTTTATGTATGTGTTCCACATTTTTTTTTTTCGTTTTTATTTCTGTGTGTGCGAGTCTCTTCATTCGTTGGCGAATGGAGCTGAGAAGAGAAAAGACTCTCATCTGCATCAAACTAACTGTACAAACTCTTGACTGACTGACTGACCGACGAAGATCCGCGCTCATTTGCTAACAACGCGTTGCTGGATCGAAAAAAATAATTGTACCTGAAATCTAGGATATTGAACAGTTGTGTGGTGTTTTTTCCGTTTACGAGTGCTGCTTTTCCTCTTCTATATTTGTATTTAAAACGTTCATGATGAAGTTCATCCTGATGTGCCTGTTTCCAGCAGTTTACCTCCTTTGCTTTGTTCTGCAAGGTAAGAAAAAAAAATGTATTTTTAAATAACATTAAAAAAACTGTGAAAATGAGACCAATATATTTTGTAAATCTTTTTAAATCTAAAAAATAAAACGTTATTAATTGAATTAAAACAGTTGATTATTGCCAGAAAGGCAAATTTCCATTGAAATCAGCAAAAAATTATACAAAAATCAAAATTTGCAAACAAAATAAGAACTTATAAATGTTAATTAGATTTAATAAATTTTTATAATTGACTTTGAATATTTCAATAAGTAAAGATAAATTTTGTTTATTAATGAAAATATGTTAATAATTTGAATACATTTTTTAATTTATTATTGGTCTATCTTAGAAGATTTCACATTTTACAGCAAATGTTAATCAGGACTTTAAAACCAAAGTTTCTAGACTTTTCTTTTCTTGATGTATCTTATCATTGGAGTAATTATGTTTATAATATCAAAGATTGATGATTTTATCTTTAAAGTACAATTTACAAATAGTAAAGCAGCGTTTTCCAAGCGCGGACTAGTCTAAGGGGAGGCGCGAATATTAGTCACAGAGAGCAATTTTCTAAATGACTGCTAAAGTTTTATCTATTTTATGTAATGGAGTTGGGAGGGGAGGCGCCAAATGATTAAATATTTTTAAGGGAGACGTAGTAACATCAAGTTTGGAAACCACTGTAGTAAAGCAACATTGATTGGTAATTAAGTTCGTACATTACAATTAAACATTAAAAACTAAAAAAAATCAGTTTCCAAATTTAAATTTTACTAATTTTTTATTGATTTTCAATTATTCAATTAACATATATTGCTGAATTTAAATGCCAATTTGCATATTCACATCATTAGTAAATTAAAAAAAAATAACTAAATAAAACATGACAAGACATACGGTCTTATTATTTAGTTGTAGATTCATTTTAAGGTAAAAATCTTCATAATTTAGTTAAAATTGTCTGGAATAACTTTAATTTATTTGAAAATGAAATTAATCTTTATCTATAAACAAAAAAAAGTCTATATAAAAATAAACTATCAAAAAAAAGAATATAAGAAATTTATATATCTGTTTCATTTGGACTAGTTTTAAGATATTCACGTATCACTAATTAAAAATAATCTTCAAAACAAGAACAAAAAGAAAACAATTTGTAAATCTTAAAGTTTCTTAATTTTGTATATTTTTCAATCATAATTATATATTTTTTTATAAAACTTTATTAGCACAAATTTTGACCAAAGTTTGTCCTAATTAATAATTGTTTCATTACTTTTCGATATTTTTAATAAAATATTCGCAAAATCTTTTCAAATAGACGTAATAACTTTCAAATGCAATTCAATTTCGTGGTTTATATAATCGAATTGGTAAATTATCTTTTTTCCATGCATCACTTCATTCAAAATTAGTCTTTCTTTTTTGTTAGGCTTTCCTTTTTGTACTCTAAAGTTATTGAAACAAAACGTTGATTTTTACTTAATCTCATTTTGGTAATGATTTGGCAATGGTTTCTACGATTTCCTACTTCTTTTTTCAAACTTTATTCATGTGAAAGTAAAATTGCTCTAATATTAAAACTTTACTTTTTAAATATAAACATGTTTTTGTTAATTTGTTATCAATATATTGAATTGAACTATATGTGTAAACTATTATTAATTATCATTTATATTCAAAAATTATTTACATATTTCAAGACATATTTAACCCTTTCCAGCCCAGTGATTCCAATTGGAATCATTAATTTTTAAATACAATTTTGTCTTTCGACGATTAAAACTGGATGCATGTAACTAATGTAAATTGAAGCTAGATGTATTTTTAACAGTATGTAATATTTAATAATGAAAAAAAAAACAGGTAAGATGTTTTTTTATGATTTGAATAAAACAGAAACAAAAATTTTAAAATAAATTTGGGCTGGAAAGGGTTAAAACATTTTTCGAAAAAAACTAACTAAAACTTGTATATTTACAAAAATATATAATACAATACATTATTTACAATATGAAACTTCTCTACAATTCTTGTTTGCACTTCAGACGATTTTTAAAAAAAATTAACAACATTTACAATATTATTATCATAAAATATCTTTATTATAATTTCCCACAAAATACGTATGATTTTCTTTATATAAGTTTAAAATAATAAATAAATATTGCATTAATAGCAAAAAAAAATGTATAATCAAGTTTTTCTATAATAATTTCAAATAGTTTTCAAAAATATATATTTCAAATTTTAAATAAAGACAGTTGTGAATGTTTTTTTTTATCGTCACTTTCTTACTTTTATTTAAAAACCACAGCGCTTGAAACAATGAAACAATCACGTTTAAATTATACGGTTTTTAAAAGGAAAACCTGATTTCACCTTGAAACATAAATTAAATGGAAAAAAATCAAACATTTTTCCAAACATCCATTCATAAAAAAAATATTTGCTTTTAAAAACATATATTTCTTGAATTTATTTCAGGAACTTCCGGAGGAGTTGGAAACATGTTCGACGTTAGATACTGGAAGTGCTTTCTGAAAAAGTCCTACCAATGCCCGGATAACGATATCAGATTTTATCTATACACTCAGTAAGTGAACAAATATATACAAGTTTTTACCATAAGTACATTATTAATGTTTACCATTATTAACAACATTTGTTAATTAAACAATTAGAAATCTTGTTTCTGTATTTAATGACTATTTTGCACATTTCCAACAGAAGAAAAAAAAATTGTAAAGGTTGCTAAATCTGCGAATTAAAAAAAAATATGTTACTAAAACTTCAAGTAATAATTACTAAAATTATGTCATTTTTTTCAAATTTTTTTAGACAAATCTTAATTGTATGAACAGTTAAAAATATTCCTATAAATATTTGTTGTTTTACATAACTAAGTTTTGTCTATTATTTCAAATGAAGAAACAACATTTGTTAATTAAACAATTTGAAATCTCTTTTCTGTATTTATTGATTAGTTTGCACATTTCCGTCAGAAATAATAATGTTTCTAAAAGTTACTAAATCTGCGAATTCAAAAATAATTTGTTTATTTCATATTTGTACACTAAGTTACTAAAACTTCAAGTAACAATTACTAAAATTATGACATTTTTTTCCATATATTTTCTATACTCAAATCTTGATTGTATCAACAGTTAACCATATTCCTATAAATATTTGTTGATTTACAAATTTCCATTAAACAAATATATAAAAATATAGTTCCAAACAAAGAAATGTCTTTGATTACTTCAACAGTTACAATTTTTCTTCATTGTTACTTTCCACGTTTTCCATTAGAAAAAATATATTTTATTATTAAATATATTAATCATTTATTTGTGAAGAAACTATTAAGATTTATTTTTTCTTTGCAGTGAATCAGGAGCAAAACGTAAAAGGATCGACATCAGAAACAATCTGGCACTTAAGTACAGCGGATGGGAACCGGACAGGAAAAACGTTATAATCGTGCACGGATTTAATGGGACCGAAAGTAAAACACCGATGACCATCCTAAGAAACGGTATTTTTTTTCTTTCAAATTTTCGCTCATAATTAACACCAAAAAATTTCCTTCGTTAATCTTAACTAACTGTTCTCTTTAATTCTACCACTAATTGAGCAATAAACAAAAGACGAAAGGTCGAAAATTTGCGTTTTAAGAAATTCCGAGTCGCTGTCTAATTTGGTCTTTGCATATGTAACGTTTTCTCTTGAACGAATTAAAAGCGAAAATTTTGATCGCAGACGAATTCCTTCCAAGGAGTAAAACAGCATCTCTAGAAATAACTGTTTCTCTGGTAAAAATCTTAACTGTTTCTCTCGTCGAAAAGTAAAAGTGGGCTACTTCTCAGTTTGTTTTCTTTGGATCCGCTGCAAATGTTTACAGCAATATTTGTTTCAATTTTAAACATAATTAAGTTAGTAATTAATTTTCGAAATCAATAACAGTACTTATTAGATGGGTTTAGTTGTAAATATACGTTGCATGCAATAGGTGTCGCGAATCTATTTACTCCAAAATGTATTCATTTACTTCGGTATTACCCCATTATGGAGGTCAACTTCTAATATTTTTCATGATTTCTAGCATGTTAATTGCTAAATGTCCTCATTACCCCCAATAATTCATTTTTACCCCATTTGGGGTAATTCGCCGACCCCTTGCTTAACCTTTATAATTTTTAAAGCATAAATTGTTCGATGGAGATCAGCGTACAATAGTTCCTTACTTTATATTATTTATCTACTTTAATTTCCTTTATGTCCCACGACATGACGCTTCAGTCTAATTTGTGTAATTCACATTTATTTTTAACAAAATGTTATTTATTGCAATACTTTTAACATAAATTCATTCAGTCTTTAATCTTCTATAGTTTCAGTACAAAAATTAAACAAAAATCGTGATTACCACTTAAACATATTAAACAAAGTTGATATGCATCTTTAAGATGTTTAAGTGCTTGGAATTATAGATCTGGACAAGCATTTCAAATAACATTATTTAGTTGAAGAAATAATTTTACTTCATAATACGAAGAAAGACGGTTGAAAGAAAAAACTAATATCTATAGTATCTGTCCAAAATCTGTTTTTATTAAATAATTTCCATTAATTTTTGTAAATTTAATTCTTAAATCTACGATTTTATTTAGTAAAGATTAAATGTCTAAGATGTAAACATTAAACATTTATAGACTTCAAAAAAATAATGGAATTGCATTTGTCTAGATGTTTTTGTAGACTTTCAAATTAGAATTTTCTATTTCCTCTGAGGATTTACTTCGAAAAGTGTGAATTTAAAGTTGGTTACATTAAACAACTCTTCTCACTGTTTTTGTTAAGTCCCTGTAAAAACAGTAAACATACGTGTTTTCGCGTTCAATTGTGTGTGTGTATTTATGTTCTATTTTCGAATATTGCAGCGTACGTGTCGAGAGGCGATTACAATGTGTTCACAGTGGATTGGAAACCCCTGACACAATTTCCGTGCTATTTGTCATCGTTGTCCAATACAAGGTTGGTGGCCAAGTGCACGGCCCAACTGTACGCTTACATCATGGATCTAGGTGGTTACGCTGAGAAAACGACGTGCGTTGGGCATTCCTTGGGAGCTCACATCTGCGGCATGGTCAGCAATCATCTGGACGTCAAACAGCATCGAATTGTTGGTAAGCACTTAAGAGGCTTTCATTATTGAAATAGCAATAACAACACTATTTGTAATGTAGCCTCGAACTTCAATAACAATCCAATTCAATAATATAACAGTTCGACTTTCAAGTTGTTCGACTTTCAAGTTGTTCGACTTTTGAGTAAAATATCTCCAAAAAAAAATCTAATTTGAAATTGAGTTAATACATTCTAGAAATCTAATTGAAATAAGAATAAGCTTCTGAGGAGAAAGTGTACGTTCATGCGAACGTACTTAATACACGTGCTTAATACAGTATTTGCAATTATAAAATATTGAAAAGATTGTATGTTATAGTGTAACCTCGAACTTCAAACACAATCTGATCCATGAAATTGTTCGACTTTTGAGTATTTGTATTAACACATTTTAGAAACCTAATTGAAATAATAATAAGCTTCTGAGGACAAGTGTACGTTCGTGCGAATAAACCATTATAATAATTTAAATATAAAATTCCAATGCACAAAAAATTGTGTTCAAGTACATAATTTTTCAAATATTATATGATTGAAATTTACCATTGCAGTTTAAAATGCAATGAATTTTCGTTTCAAAACTCTATAACTTTAGATTTCGCTGTTGGCACAAAAAACACTGCGATGTGCCAATAAATGAATAGATATATAAAGCCATCGCTCACTCAATATACATACTGTTCACGTAAATTAAATAATAAGTAGACGAATATTTACAGAGAATCTCACTGAACTAGCATACAAATAAAGTCTCAGTAGGAGGTAATGCACGGACGATTTATATTTTCTTCGAGATAAAAAATAAATTTGATCTGTACAAAATATGATTATGTATCCGACAATAAAGTGTACGTTAATATGAACATAATGTACGTTAGTGCGAACAAAGATAAATGTTTCAATTTAACGTACATCTATACATTTGTATAAGCTTTAGTACGTTAATTGATGATAATGTTTTATAAACTTTATGTTATTATTTATAGGTTTGGATCCGGCGAGGCCTCTTGTCTCACAATACGGTTCATCCGAATTTCGACTATCCCCAGAAGATGCTCACCAGGTGCAAATAATCCATACGAATTCGGGATTTCTAGGGGAGACCAATCAGGTCGGACACGTGGATTTTTGCGTGAACGGCGGCAGAAATCAGCCCGGATGTAAGGGACACAAATTACGTAAGAAAACCATAGATTTCTCTTCACAAAAACGTATTAAAACTGTCTTATTCTTTATACAGGTGTTGCGCGCTGTAGCCACTTCCAAAGCGCGTGTTACTTTGCGGCGACGGTGCGACAAGGTAACCTTATGATTGGTAAACCTTGCACGGCGCAATGTCCGAAGAGGACGAGTAATTGGGGTCTTCTTCCTGGAAAACCTATCCCAATGGGACACGATACACCCTTCAGGTTTGAGATTTCTAACTAGAAAAAATAAATTGAGAAATTATTTATAATTTTTATCTTTATATTTTAGTGCTCGAGGGACGTATTGTGTCCATAGTCGAAGCGACAGTGATTGCCCTTTCAACTAAACTCCAAAAAAAAACACCACTTATTAGTATTAATATTCTATAATAATATTTATTTATTCAAATGCATTTTGTTTTATTAAATTCCCATCACAGTCATTCCAATCCAATATATTTTACAATTCATTCAACATCATTTGGAATCTTACTAAAAGTAAACAAAAAGATACAATTGGAAAATAGAGATGAACGAATTAGAATAAGTTCCATCAAATTTTCTTTACAAAAATTGTTTTTGATTGGTACATTCAAACAGAAACGCAACATTTAATACAGACTGTTAACAAAGTAGACATCTCTTAAAATAAGTAAAACTGCATGTTATATGTGATAGTATTTTATAGTTTACTGATTTATTGATTGAATAATTTTGTTTAATGAAAAACTATGATCAATATAAAGTTTTATATCCTGATTAAAATTGAGTTGTAAAAAAAATTCAAACCAAGTAATACGATTGGTGCATTTGAATTAATGTTTATTTACTGATAACTTTAAAAACAATTTAAAAAACTACTTTAAAGAGACCACAACGCTGTTGCAACGCCAGCAGCGTTTAGATTAACTTATAGGTATTGTAACTGTTGTTTACAATAACCTAAAAATCCAATTAGAAACACCAGTGTTTTCGATGGACAATATAAACAACGCATTAACATCGAATGTATTATTATTGTCAGCAGCAGCAGCTTTACTCCTAAAATATAAAATTGATAATGACAAAAAGAAGTGCAAGAGAAAGAGAAGATGGTGGGTAAGACCCATGTACCAAAATCACTACTTAAGAAATGATCTCATTGACGAAATGCGTCTGCAAGACAATGAAACATTCTTCAAATGCACCAGGATGACTGTTGAAATGTTCGATGACCTCTTGTACTTGTGTGGACCATATTTGAAGAAGAGAAGTAATCGACCTGTATTACCTGAAGCTGTTCGATTGGCACTCACTTTAAGGTAATGCTAAATGAAATGCATTGTTTATTAAACTTTGTGTTAATTTCAGGTTACTAGCTTCCGGGGATTCTCTTCAATCAATAGCCTTTGCTTTTCGTGTTGGGAAAGCCACTGTCTGTCAGGTGTATAGAGAAACTTGCCAAGTTATGTGGGATGTGTTGCAACCAATATATTTACCATTGCCAAGTGAAGAGCAATGGGAGGAAATTTCCTTAGATTTCTACACTAAATGGCAGATACCTAATTGTGTGGGTGCAGTGGATGGTAAGCATATATCAGTTAGGGCTCCAAACAGATCCAGCTCAGCGTATAGGAAAGATTTGAGTATATTCGTGTTTGGTATCTGCGATAGCAAAAACGATTTTACTTATGTTGATGTGAGCGCTTATGATTCACAAAGCGATGGAGGTGTTTTGAAAGAGTCCTCATTCGGACAACATTTGAACGCTGGAACTTTAAACTTACCTTCAGATTGTTATCTGCCAGGATCAGATACTCTTTTCCCTTATTACTTCATCGGTGATGACGCTTTTCCTCTTCAACGCAATTTAATGCGTCCGTATGGTGGAAGAAACCTACCAGATGATAAAACCATATTCAATTACAGATTGAGTAGAACGCACAGGTGCATAGAGAATGCTTTCGGTGTTCTCTGCACCAGGTGGCGAATATTTCAAAACACCTGTCCAGAATCCGTGGATAAAATTGTGCAGGCCACAGTTTGTCTTCACAATTACATTAAAAGCAAAGAGTCGTTCTCGGACACTGCCAATTATTGCAATGATAATTTTGTGGACAGAGAGGAAAATGGTAAATTTATTTCTGGAAATTGGAGGACCGAGATTTCCAATGGTTGCGCTCTGCAACCGGCATCAAAATTAAGAAGATTAGGAACTAGAAATGCTACAGTCAGTGTTACTAATTTACGCGATTCATTAAACTCTCATCTAAATAGTATAGGTAGCTTAGATAATCAATTGGAATTTTCAAAACTTAAATAAAATATAGATACATTATTTTAAGCATTTTTTTTTAACTTGTATCATATCAAACTCGCTTGCCGCAAACGGCCCACAATGAATATTCTTGTGGTCCAGTCAATATGTAAGAAACCGAAAACGATTTCACCCGAACTAAGATAGTAGCATTGTTCTTTTTTATACTATACTTTTCGATATAAACCTATGTTTCTATGTTTAATGCTAATTCGATATAACTAAAAAAAATCTGTAACTTTATTGATGATAATGTGACTTCCCTTTGCGTCCAGAAACGTTAATTGAAGTCTTACTATATTTCAAATTATCATATAAAATTAGTGTGTACTTGTCTAACATGATCAGGCATCTGCGACAAAACTGATTCCATCTAATCATCAACAATTTCTTCTTTATGTTCTATTAACTTTCTATGTGTTCTGCAAAAAAATAATAAAATTTTATGTTGTTACAAGAAACAACATAAAATTTTGAGGTGTTCTTCCTCTTGTATTGATCGTCACATCAAAAATATTAAAATATGCTTCAACTTCATTATACAATATCAGATTCAATTTCTTCTATTTCTCTCGCTTTATATTGACCCATGACCAAAACTTTTTTCATTAATAACTCGAGAACCCCTTAAGCTAAATATATCGTCAACTACTCGTATAAAAAGTGAATAACTCGCCTTTCCAACGAGCCTACAAACATCTTCGTACTTTCATTGAGTCGCCTGCAACGAGCTGTAGAAATTGAAAGAAAAATTCATTGAATAAAAAAATCGTTTTTCGTTAATAACTCGAGAATCCCTAAAGGTAAATTCATCGTCGATCAATCGTATGAAAGCAGAATGACTCATCTTTCTAATAAGCCTACAAACATCTTCGTACTTTCATTGAATCGCCTGCTAAGAGCTATAGAAATTGAAAAAAATTAATTGAACCACAACTGAAAATAGTTATCCTAAGTTAAAAATGAGCAATGCTATGGTTACCTTAAAAAGTACTTTTCTGAATAATAACGTCTTTGAAAACCAATTTGCTGATAATAAATCTTAATCAAGTACTTCTATTAAACGATACAAAAAAGGAAAATTGGTGTTTACACGTTTTTTAATATATAAAATATAATTTATTACAACAAAAAAGTTGTAGTTATGACTTTTATGAAAATAATGTATTGTATTGATTTTTTTTCAAACATTAGCTTTTGTTTTTAATAAATAAACATTTATAAGCTAAGTTTATCGTTCAGCGTTATGGAAGATTCCTTTTGATCATAATTTATTCGATTTTTTAAAACGTCTAAAGTAGCAGTTATGAATTCCTTTTGATATTGATTTATTGATTCGCCTAAAGTAGGCGAATTCTATTCCTTCCTCTGGAATTCTTTTAACCAGCGTAGGATCCAATAGTTTTTCTACCGTTCCTTTCTCTGAAATACATCTAGCCGTCGTAGGATGTAAATCTGTTTGTGTTCCTACCTCCGAAAGACATATTACCGGGGTAGAATCCAATTCTTCTATTCCTTCCTCTGAAATACATTTAGTCGGCGTATGATCTAAATCTATTTGTATCCCGTCCTTTGGAATACATTTATCCAGCGTCGGATGCAATGGTGCTATTATTTTACGTATCAATTCGCACTGTTCAAACGTCATTGCTTTATCCAAAGCCTCAAGAAAAGTTCTCTTCATTTTTTCTTTCAGTTCTTCGAGCGTCTCAGGCTTTTCGACCAATTCCATAGTATCATTTACAAACAATTCAAACGCATCTTCAAACGTCTTTGAGTTTTTTACGTTTTCTCCAACTAATTGTATAGAATCATCTACAACCAATTCGAAAAAAGAAAATAATTAACTTTTGATTTAATTGAAATTATTACCCGCAATAGAAATATCACAATTATCCTCAACACTGTTGTAGCGACTTAAAATATCTTGAATTCCTTCAAGCGTCTCAGACTCTTCCATTTTATTACTATTATTTGCATCAGCTGCAACCAATTTGAAAATAAATATTAATTCCTCCAAATTAAATGTAAATGAAAATTATTACCCTTAAATTGAGTATCAAAATTTTCCTTGACAATAACGACATTTTCGTGACGACTTAAAATTTCTGTACGTCTTTTTTTCTTTATTGGTTCAAGCGTCTCAGGATCTTCCAAATTAATAACATTAATTTCATCACCTGCAACCATTTCGAAAATAAAATAAATTTATTGAATTAAAAGTGAGAATGATTACCACTTAAAAAATCCTTAGCATTCAAATGAACCGAATCGTCATCATGCCCAATATGTGTTTCAGTGAACAAAACATTCCAACGTCCTTCTTTGATAGTCACCTCCATGGATGCAGGACAAAACGCGTTTCTTTTATTTGGCATATGTTGCCTTAAACCAACACCTTTTGATTTTAATGTACCTGACCGATGACATGTATATTTTATTTTCGTATGGTCTATAGTTTTAATAATTCCATTATCATTAATAAAGGTAAAACAGGTATCTTTTTCGATTTCTCTTTTCCAACACTGGAAATCCTCCATACTCTTAAACTCCTTATTTTCAGTTCTAATATCAATGTCATGGTTCTCTTTGATGTGCTTAATTAATTCTTTTTCTATACTTTTCCAATCGCACAACGGACATTTGGGCAATTCTTTCCGCATTGAATGAATTCCGTGAGTTACCAGGTGTCTTTTAAAGATACGATAATTATGAAATTCTTGTGGACAAGCAACACACTGATATTTTATTTTGTTTGGGGCAATTTCATCCAACCCATCTGAAACATGCATTAAGTTTGTTCAATCTTGCCGCGAACCGGTCAATGTTAAAATTAAATGGAAACAATTTAATGTTCATTGAGCGCCCGGTACCATTTGACTAGGGGTTGGGGACCACCGGGTTATGGTGTGTTATCACCAAACGTTATAAACATTTTCGTAATTTCCAATATGGTGTTAAAAGCAATATTACCTGCTAATTTACCTGCCATAATCAAATTGCCTTTTTCTGGAAGTTTAATGTGACAAAGTTCATTTTTATGTCCTATATGTGTACTTGTGTATTTAACACTATATACATCATTTTTATAAACAAGAATTATGGATGCAGGACAAAATGCATCAATCTTTATTGAGCCTTGAATCTTCAAAGATCTTAACCCTTGGCCTTTGCTTTGATATGTTCCTGACCTATTGCAATGATATTTTGTCTGGGTATATGTAGCAGATTTGAATGCACCACGGTCCTGCATAAAGAATATTGAGTTTTCTTCTTCTATCTGTTTCTTCCAGCTATTAAATTCTTCTATTGTGTAAAAGTCATGATGTTCAATATTAATATCTACATTGTGAACCAAAGTAAAATGTTGAATTAATGCTGGTTTAAGATCAATAACTTTACATAAAGGACACTTCTTTCCATAGTTATGAGCCTTGTGATGTTTGATGAGACGACGTTTGTTTTTAAAACTTTCCGAACAATATTCACAATTATATTTATTCTTTATCTTAGATGGAGCAATTTCTTTAATCTGATCTGTAATATAAATTAAATAATTAACAATAATGAAAACAAATTATATGTTATACTTTACCAGGACGGTGTGATTTTACATGTTTCCTTAAATTCGAATGGATTGCAAATGATTTTTCACAAACAGAGCAAGAGAAGCCTGAAGTAGACATTTTAAAAGTTTATAACAATCACAATAATGGTAAACTAATCCGTCAACAATAACCCACAATAGAGATTCGGCATTTGCACAGGTAAACATAACAATACACACATGCGCATTATCTATAATTATAAACAAGACCAACTGTAGCTAGTGGTTTCTCTGTTATAGCATTCACAATTTTTGATTATTTTTTATATTCCGATTGTACTTTTTTTTTTGCAATTTTCGCCTTTTTAACGAGGTATCTTTATAAAAGTCCCAATGCAAAAACAAGTTTAAGTATAATTTCATATTTAGAATCTAATTCAAAATGTTGAGTTTAGTCCATGTAACCGAAATAGCTAAGAACTGATACATATACAATGCTCGTTAATATTCATATAACAAAAAAAGTTGTACTTTATCACTTTTATCAAAATAATATATTGTATTGATTTTCTTCAAATATTAGCTTTTCTTTTTAATAAATATACATTTATAAGCTAGTGGTTTATAGTTCAGCGTTATAGAAGATTGCTTTTGATCACAATTTAGACGATTTTTTAAAACGTCTAACTCCTCCTGTTCACAATTTAGGCGATTTTTTGATTCGCCTGAAGCAGTATCCAATTCTTCTACGGTTCCTTTCTCTGGAATATACTTAGCCGGCATAACATCTACTTCTTTTTGTGTTCCATCATCTGAAATATATTTAGCCGGCGCAAGGTCCAATACCTCATTTGTTCCTTTCTCTGGATTACATTTAGCCAGCGTAGGTTCTAACTCTTTTTGTGTTTCCACCTTTGAAATACTTTTAACCAGCATATGATCTAATTCTTTTTCTATTCCTTCCCCTGGAATACATTTACCGGGCGTAGGATCTAATTCTTTTTGTGTTGCATCATCTGAAATACATTTAGCCAGCGTTGGATACAATTCTTTTTGTGTAGTTTCATCTGCAATACATTTAGTCAATTCTTCTTCTATTCCTCCCTTTCGAATACATTTATCCAGCGTAGGATGCAATGGTGCTATTATTTTACGTATCAATTCGCACTGTTCATACGTAGTTGCTTTATCCAATGCCTCAAGAAACGTTCTCTTCATTTTTTCTTTCAGTTCTTCGAGTGTCTCGGGCCTTTCCAAGTTAATACCATAATTCAGGTCTACAACTAATTGTACAGAATCATCTACAACCAATTCGAAAATAAATATTAAATTCTTCAAATTCATTAAAATCAATTATTACCCTGGCTATCGCAGTTATCCTTAATAAAAGCGAAATTTTTGTGACGACTTAAAATTTCTTTATATTGTTTTTTCTTTATTGGTTCCAACGTTTCAGGATCGTTTGTATTAATACGGTTATTTGTATCATCTGCAACCAATTCGAAGTCACAGTCATCATTGATAGTATCATTACATTTTTGACGGGTTAAAAAATCTTTAAATTTACTTTTCTTTCCCCGTTTAAACGTCTTGCATTCATCTATCGTAAAAGTATAATAATAATTATTTCATAAATTGATTTAATTCAATGTAAAATGCAAATTATTACCAGAAATTTGAGATTCACAGCCATCCTTGTTAGTTCGATTACTTTTGCAACTTAATATTTCTTTGCACTGTTTTTTCTTCTTTCTTTGCAACTTCTCGGGATATTCTATGTTATATATACCATTATTTGTATTATCTGCAATAGATTTAAAAATAAATAATAATTGCTTCAAGTTTAACCCTTTTAAGTCTGATATTTTTTGTTCAAATTTCGAACTATATACAGAATCTGACATAATCGAATATGTTGTTAAATGGAACATAAGCTGTTAATTTACCTGCCAAAATCAATTTGTCTTTCTCTGGAAGGTTAATGTGACAAAGTTCATTTTTGTGTCCAAAGGGTGTACTTGTATATTTCAGTTTTTGCACCCACAAGTCTACATTCTCTGCATCATTTGTATTTAGAATTGCAGAGTTATTCAAATTAAAGTCCCTTTTAATATTTCTTAAGTCCTGCTTTGTGACAAGATGAATTCGTTCCAAGTTTGAATCTTGAAGTGAACCTTTAATGTCCTCTATAATGGTTTTAAATGGAATCTTATTTGCCAATTTATCTGTGAACAATAAATTGTTATTTTCTTGGAAATTAATTAACAAAATGTATGCCAATTTACCTGCCAACATCAATCTGTCACTTTTTGGAAGAGGTATATGACGTAATTCATTTGTGTGTCCTATGTGGGTACTTGTATATTTAACATTGTAAATACCATTTTTATAATCAAGAATTATGGATGCAGGACAAAATGCATTAATTCTTTTTGAGCCATGAACCTTCAAATTTCTTATGCCTTTGCCTTCCCTTTGATATGTTCCTGACCTGTGGCACTGATATCTTGTCCGGATATATGTAGCAGATTTGAATGTTCCATGATGCTTGGGAAAGAATACTGTGTTTTCTTCTTCTATCTGTTTCTTCCAGCTATTAAATTCTTCAATCGTTTTAAAGTCATGATGTTCAATATTGATATCTACATTGTGAACCAATGTAAAATGTTGAATTAATGCCGATTTGACATCAATAACTTCGCATAAAGGACATTTCTGTCCTGAGGTATGAACCTTGTGATGTTTGTTGAAAAGAATTTTGTTGTTAAAACTTTCTGAACAAATTTCACATTTATACTTTATCTTATTTGGAGCAATTTCATTAAGCTGATCTGTAATATATATAAAATAACGTATAATAATGAAAACAATTAGAAAGTTATACTTTACCAGGGTGGTGTAATTTTACATGGGCCCTTAAATTTGAATGGTTTGCAAATGTTTTTGCACAAACAGAGCAAAAGAAGCCTGAAGTAGACATTTTAAAAGTTTATAATAATCAAAATATCATCAACAATGGGCCACAGTTAGGTTCCCTAATGTAAACAAAACAAAACACGCATGTGCATTTTCAATAACTAAAAACAAGGCCTACGTACAGCTAGTGGTATCTCTTTTATAGCGGTGCGCAACCAGCGATCCGCAGAGTAATTTGAATATATTCACAATTTTGGATTATTTTTATATTCCGTTTGTACTTTCTTTTTGTAATTTTCGCTTATTATGATGCATGTTTATAAGTCGCAACGCGAAAACAAGAGTAAGTATAATTTCATATTTAGAATCCAATTCAAAATTTTGAGTTTAGTAGCTTTAGTAGTCCGTGAGATCAAAAAGGTTGGTGAATTTTGTATTAAAGTATATCACAATGTAAATTGATGTTTTCAGTTCCACTCTTTTTAACAAACTCAAATTTAAATTTTTCTCTTAATTAATATCATCTTTGAAATCAGCTTCACGCTAATATTCATAATCAAATTTATATTTATGTACAAACAAGAAGCAAATTAATTAATATTTTTCATTAATTATAAATAATAAAGTGTCAAGTCACTTTGGTTTTGTCCACCAAATACAATTTAAAAATAATCTCTTATTTAACCTTTTCACATTAGATTTTGTTCATTTTCTTTCTTAACGCTATAGATGATTTAGTGCATTTTAAATTAAAAAATAGCGAAAAAAAACAATATGAAGTCTTAATCAATTAAATTAAACGAAACAAATATAAAATAAATAATACAAAAATTGATTTTTAAAAGTTTTTTAATATGTAATATAATTGAAAATAAACATAACGTATTGCAATAACAAAAAACAAGTTGTACTTTATCACTTTTATGAAAATAATGTATTGTATTGATTTTCTTCAAACATTAGCTTTTCTTTTTAATAAATATACATTTATAAGCTAATGGTTTATAGTTCAGCTTTATGGCAGATTGCTTTTCATCACAATTTAAAGGATTTTTTAAAACGTCTAAAGTAGGAGTTATTAATTCCTTTTGTTCACAATTTAGGCGATTTTTTGATTCGTCTAATGTAGGATCCAATTCTTCTACTGTTCCTTTCTCTAGAATACACTTAGCCGGCGTAGGATATAATTCTTTTTGTTTTCCGTCATCTAGAATACATTTAGCCAGCGCAGGATCCAATACTTCATTTGTACCATTCTCTGGACTACATTTAGACTGCGTAGGTTCTAACTCTTTCTGTGTTTCCTTCTTTGATATAGGCGACATATGATCTAATTCTTTTTTTATTCCTTCCTCTGGAATATATTTAGCCAGCATAGGATCCAATACTTCTGTTCCTTTCTCTGGATTACATTTAGACGGCGTAGGTACTAACTTTTTTTGTGTTTCCTCCTTTGAAATACATTTAGCCGACATATGATCTAATTCTTTTTCTATTCCTTGCTCTAGAATACATTTAGCGAGCATAGGATCTAATACTTCTGTTCTTTTCTTTGGAATACAGTTAGCCGGTGTTAGATCCAATTCTTTTTGTGTTCTTTCCTCTGCAAACCTTTTAGACAATTTTTCTTCTATTCCTCCCTTTGAAATACATTTATCCAGCGTAGGATGCAATGGAGCTATTATTTTACGTATCAACTCGCACTGTTCATACGTAGTTGCTTTATCCAAAGCATCAAGAAACGTTCTCTTCATTTTTTCTTTTAGTTCTTCGAGAGTCTCACGCTTTTCCAAGTTATCCTCGGCATCATCAATACTTTCGAAACGACTTAAAAATTCTTGAATTTTACTTGTCTTTCTAACTTGAAGTATCTCAAGCTCTTTTATTTCATGAACAATATTTGCATCATCTGTAACCAATTCGAAAAAAAATACTAAATCCTTCAAATTGATTAAAATCAATTATTACCTTGGGTATCGCAGTTATCCTTAATAAAAGCGACATTTTTGTGACTTAAAATTTCTTTATATTGTTTTTTCTTTATTGGTTCCAAAGTTTCAGGATCTTCTGTATTAATACTGTTATTTGTATCATCTGCAACCAATTCGAAGTCACAGTCATCATTGATAGTATCATTACATTTTTGACGACTTAAAAAATCTTTAAATTTACTTTTCTTTCCCCGTTTAAGCTTCTTGGATTCATCTATCGTAAAAATATAATAATAATTCTTTCATAAATTGATTGAATTCAATGTAAAATGCAAATTATTACCAGCAATTTGAGATTCACAGCCATCCTTGCTAGTTCCATTATTTTTGCAACTTAATATTTCTTTGCACTGTTTTTTCTTCTTTCTTTGCAGCTTCTCGGGATATTCTATGTTATATACACCATTATTTGTATTATCTGCAATAGATTTAAAAATAAATAATAATTGCTTCAAGTTTAACCCTTTCAAGTCGATTTTTTTTTTCATTCAAATTTCGAATTATATACAGAATCTGACAAAATCCAATATGGTGTTAAATGGAATATTAGCTGTTAATTTACCTGCCAAAATCAATTTGTCTTTCTCTGGAAGGTTAATGTGACAAAGTTCATTTTTGTGTCCAAAGGGTGTACTTGTATATTTCAGTTTTTGCACCCACAAGTCTACATTCTCTGCATCATTTGTATTTAGAATTGCAGAGTTATTCAAATTAAAGTCCCTTTTTATATTTCTTAAGTCCTGCTTTGTGACAAGATGAATTCGTCCAAGTTTGAATCTTGAAGTGAACCTTTAATGTCCTCTATAATGGTTTCAAATGGAATCTTATTTGCCAATTTATCTGTGAACAATAAATTGTTATTTTCTTGGAAATTAATGTAACAAAATGTATGCCAATTTACCTGCCAACATCAATCTGTCACTTTTTGGAAGAGAAATATGACGTAATTCATTTGTGTGTCCTATGTGGGTACTTGTATATTTAACATTGTAAATACCATTTTTATAATCAAGAATTATGGATGCAGGACAAAATGCATTAATTCTTTTCGAGCCTTTAATCTTCAAATGTCTTAGGCCTTTGCCTTCTCTTTGATATGTTCCTGACCTATGACACTGATATCTTGTCCGGGATATATTAGCAGATTTGAAATGTTCCGTGGCGCTTGGGAAAGAATACTGTGTTTTCTTCTTCTATCTGTTTCTTCCAGCTATTAAATTCTTCAATTGTTTTAAAGTCATGATGTTCAATATTGATATCTACATTGTGAACCAATGTAAAATGTTCAATTAATGCTGGTTTGACATCAATAACTTCGCATAAAGGACATTTCAGTCCTGAGGTATGAACCTTGTGATGTTTGTTGAAAAGAATTTTGTTGTTAAAACTTTCTGAACAAATTTCACATTTATACTTAATCTTATTTGGAGCAATTTCATTAAGCTGATCTGTAAAATAAATAATGTACAATAATGCAAACAAATTATAAGTTATACTATACCAGGGTGGTGTAATTTTACATGGGCCCTTAAATTTGAATGGTTTGCATATGTTTTTGCACAAACAGAGCAAAAGAAGCCTGAAGTAGACATTTTAAAGTTTTAAGGAACACAATACAATAGGTAACAAAAGTTTCTTAAACAATGCCGACAAAAATGTAAACAAAACTATAATTCATAACACATAACCCAGTTTACTAGCTTCAATAGAACATCAACTGACATCAGCGTTCCTAAAAGTAAACAAAATACGCGCAAACGCATTATCAATGAATCATAACTTTCAATGGGATGTCTTACTTATTTCTCTTCATATTGTCTTGTTTTTCTTCAAACATTAACTGTTCTTTTTAATAAATATACATTTATAAGTTAATGGTTTATAATTCAGCGTTACGGAAGATTGCTTTTGTTCACAATTTAGGCGATTTTTTGATTCGCTTAAAGTAGGAAATTCTTTTTATATTCCCTCTTCTGGAATACATTTAGCTTGCGTAGGATCCAATTCTTCTTCTGTTCCTTTCTCTGCAATACATTCAGCCAGCGCAGGGTCTAAGTACTTCATTTGTTCCTTTCTCTGGATTACATTTAGCCAGCGTTGGATCTAATTCTTTTTGTGTTCTTTCCTCTGCAATACATGTAGCCAATTCTTCATCTAGTTCCTCCCTTTGGAATACATTTATTCAGCGTAGGATACAATGGAGCTATTATTTTACGTATCACTTCGCACTGTTCATACGTAGTTGCTTTATCCAAAGCCTCAAGAAACGTTCTCTTCATTTTTCTTTAGTTCTTCGACAGTCTCACGCTTTTCCAAGTTAATATCATTATTTACATTTTCTTCAACCAATTTTATAGTATCATCACGCAGAAAATGTCTTCAATAACATTTTTAAATTATTCCGGA